CCCACCGTCCTTCTCCCGCCCTGGCTCAGAGGAACCAGCGCAGCGAGCAAGTACTTCGTAGTGTACCATTTCCAGTTATTCTGGCTCCACCTCCACCCTCACCCCTCCTCTTCAATGTTCCTTCCCACTAAGCTGGGGCCGTCGCCTGTCAATCCTCTCTAGCCCTTCCCCTAGTCGTGTTTCCCGAACCTTGGCTCCACCGTTCTCCGTTGTGTGCCTCTTGTGTGTGCCTGTGCCCCTTCCGAGAGTGTCCACCTTCCCTTTTCCCTTGCTCCTTCCCGCCACCTGACTCTCCTACTATTTTCCGCTTCCTTTACTTCCTCTCCTTCCTTTCTCCTTCCCCCCCTTCACCGAGATCGTACTCGCCTCGTCCGACAAGATTCAACCACGGCGACGACGTTTCCCTTCGATTCTCGAGAGCGCCTGCGCGCCTTTAACCCGCCCGATTCGAGCCCGGCGTTCCATTCTCTTCCTCCCCCCCGCAACACTTTCTTTTCCTTCGACGACCAGACGGTTTTATGGCGGATTTCCGGTGCGAAGGAAATTAGACATTAGACACGATCACGAACCAGCCCGCCAATGTCTTCCACATCGCCATCTTCTCGCTCGTTGATGATTAGAATACCCATGATCTGAGGGACGCTTGACGATAATTTTATTAATTTTTGGAAACGTCCATCATCTTGATTTCCCGACGATTTTTCGTCGAGTCGCTCTTTTGAAAATAACCATACGAAATGTGCGTCACTCTACCCATCGACTTGGAACAATCGTTCGACGGTTTATTCCCTCTCATTTCTTTTCTCCTCTTTCGCAGGTGAAATTCGCCCAGGGTTGGGCTGGTGGCGAGTGCTGCGCGCCCAATATTGCTAGGCCTGCTCTTTTTTCTTGGGTTGTTTTGCGCGGATGATCGTGCGGATCATTCATGCAAATGGGATCCTCACTCGACCGAACCCCAGTCTCGCTAACATGGTCCGTTTTGTAGATCTACGCTCTTTGACTATAATTGTCAAGTACGCTCTTTTACTACACAACCCTGACATAGTGAGTCTTCGCGGTTCGAGCATTATCGTCAATCACCTTGCATGGCGCTGACAAGATGTTGGTTCCGTCGGCCAAAAAAAGCATATAAAAATCTACATTTGCAAAATACAAGCACGGTCAATCTTTCGAAACTTGAGTTGGACGAGTAACGCTAGCATTCAATTTACGAACAACGATGCAGCCGAAAAAGTGGACGTGGGCCCTTGGCCTTGCCTACGCTTCCACAGCCATCGCCGCCGGCGCCGACCGACCGAGGATATACTTCCCTCGCCATGTCAAGCGACAATTCATCAACGCGACCGAGACTCAGCAGGAAACTTTCCCTCCTCAGACCGAGCTGCCCATTGAGACTTCAGCACCATCAAGCGAGGATGACGGAGAATCGTCGAGCCCGCCCCAGGGTCCTATCGACGTCATTGAGTCCATCATCGACGATCTAACTGATCCTGAACCTTCCAGCTCGTCGGTCGAGGTTCCGGTCCGTGACACTGCCGACATTCTTACCCTCTCGATTCCGACGACGATCCTTGTTAGCATCACGCCAGAGCCCTCTGTCAGCCTCCCCGACATCATTGTTCAGCCTACCAGCAGCTCCAAGGCTGTAGAAGAGGAGACCTCGTCGTCTTCGAAGAAGGACGACGTGGTGGAGACTAGCAGCCCAGAGCCGGAGAAGACCCTCTCCTCGAGCTCTTCTTCGTCGAGTGGTATCCTCCTTGCCCCTACCGGTGTCGTCTCCTCTGAGGATCCCAAGGACCCCAAAACCTCGCAATCCGCCGAGTCACCTAAGCCCGAACCTGAGACTTCGAGCTCTGCCGATGCCGAGATTCCCTCTCCCACCGACGACTCCGCCCAGCCCAACCCGACTGCTCCTACGACCTCGGAGACTCCCAAGACGCAGAAACCCGTGGACAAGGAACCGGTTGAGACCAAGGAGTCCAGTTCTTCCGATGTCATCGTTCCCGTCATCCCCGGTCCCACCGAGTCCTCCTCCCTTCCCCCTGCTGAGACGGTCACCCCGCAGCAGCCTGCGCCCACCGAGGCTCCTGTTGAGCAGCCGCCAACCACGACTGAGGAGCCACTTATCCCCACCGATATTATTCCTGGAATCGTCGATCCCATTGAGACAGCCCTGTCTAGCGTTATCGATGGTGTCCTTCCTCCTGGCGGCAATGCTACGACTGGAATTGAGGAACCTACCGCGTTGCCTACTAATCCTCCGCTCACTGACGGGCCCATCCCAACCGACGAGCCTCAGACGAACGTCGACCCGCAGCCGACCGATGTTCCCAGCACTGATGTTTCCAGCAGCGATGTTCCCCCTCCTCCCACCACGACCGTTCCTACCGAGCCTCCTGTGACTGACGGACCGGCCTCACCTACTGATGTCCCCGACACAACGGTGCCGCCGCCTGACACCACGACCTCGGATGAGCCGATCGTCACAACCCCCCCTGGCCCCATTGCGAACTCGACGACCAGCGCGACGGAGGAGCCCCTTCCAGACATCACGACAACTCTTCCTCCTCCGCCACCACCTGCCGACACGGCCACTTTCACCAGTGTTCCGATTGCTAGTACTGTCACCGGCAAGGATGCTTGGCTCGGCACGAAGTTGGCTGCCGATGATGCTACGTCTAGTATCAATAGCGAGCTTCCCGCACCCACGAACATCGAGCAGCTCCCGGCGGGTATGCCTAAGACCATCGACGCATCGGATGAAGTTGTTGCTCAGCCTGCCGGAACCACGCTGATTCGCATCGTTTTTGACCGCCGACTCCACTACGAGTTCGTCGCAGAGAACTTTACGGCTGCCCAGCAAATCTTCACGTTCTTGCCCCAGATCATTGCATACGGCGAAGGTATCACTGATAGCGAAATCAGGATGCTGCGATTGGTGCCGATCGAGACCAAACAGAAGAAGGGATGGATCACGACCGCTGCGATGGCGTATGTGCCCACCAGCATCATTGACGCGCTTCAGATCGATATCCACCTGACCAACTCGGCCCTGTACCACCACCCTCTACCGCTCGCGTACGAGCTCGCGCAGGCCATCGACCCGTCATTCGGCATCTTCCCCGGTTCGGAGGGTGAGGTTACCAATGGCGGTTCGTCTGAAGAGCCCGGCGGTTCGCCATTCACCAACGGTGAGGAAGACGTCACTGAAGAGCAGACACCTAAGCAGAAGGGTGCAACTGTTGGCATTGCTTTCGGAGCGGTCAGCGTTGCTGTCGCGTACGGTGCGGCCATGTTCCTGGTAGCTAGGCGGTACAAGCGCAAGAGACAGGCGCACCGCCGCACTAGCTCGGTCACGGACGCCACTACCGACATGGCTTTCAGCGGCCCAGGCTCGAGCGGCAGCCCCGCCACGGCCATGATGGGTGGTGCTCTTCTTAGCCGAGACTTCTCCAGCTACGGTGGCGTGGCTGGCGGCAGGGAAAGCCATGGCAGCGGGCGAAGTGGAGCGGGCAACTCTGCTCGCACAGCTTATATCTCGGCGCCAGTTGCGGCGGAGAACTCGCTGGGATGGAATTAGACTACAGAGTAGGATGTGAGAGAGGGAGAGAAGGAAAGACGAGAGCATCTACTCTGTGAACCCTGTGTTTTTACAAACCCCCCCACGACAAGCCAATGATTTTTCATAAACTCCTTGGTGCCGACCCGAACCATGTTACGCTTGGATACCCAGTTCGGGAGGCACGGCCATCCACAGATATTTTTTTTTATTTATCCTTTTTTTTATATCCACTTTGGATTTTCTCTCTGCCTTTTTAAGGAAGGCATTTATTCTTTAAATATACTTTTTTTTTTTTTGTAACTCTCTATGTCTCTGAAGACTCTCGATGTGGGGAGATATATCGGGAGGCTCTTTTGGTTGATGTTTAATGTATATCAACGAGGAACCTGGAATGTGTGCTATATACTCCTCTTGGGTTCGAAAGTCTACGGAAAATACTAATTTTTCTTGTCCTATCTGTGTCTTGTGAAGCTTGTGAGGCCCTCTTGTGGGTGTTGGCTATATCCTAAGTGTTCTTTCCGGATATTGGTATTTCTCACCTCCGTCGCCTTCTCTTGATCTTGTCTACCTGTTTGTCCGTCTGTTTTAGACGCGGATGATTTGGCGTGAAACCGGTGGTTTCAAAGGCCACAAGTCGAGAATTGGGATGAGCTGAGGAACTCTAGCAAGGCGTCTTTGATTTATTAGATTCCTTTTTTATTGTTTGAAGCGGATTTTTCCACTTGCGGTTGACCAACGGACCAAGGATTATTGGATGCTTGTTTCTCCTGTTTCGTGTCATTCGTTCTCTCACATTATTGACGAAAGGTAAGCTTTGGGGCGTTTGGGTTCTTCGAATGTTTGCTTCTATCCTGTCTGGACTCCTTTGGGCGGAGTGGATATATGTCTTTTCTAGATCATACGGTTTGCGAGTCTCGTTGGCTATTGAATAGCCTTGATCTTCGCCCGGGAGCGAGAGCGTGAGAACCTTGCATTTGGAAAAATCGCGGAATGAGGTTTCTCTCATATTTTGCTCATTAGACCATCCTGGAGTAAATTGAAGGTCAAGCTGATGGTTTGGGAGGAACAGCTCCGCCAGAGGCTCAATCAATCCTTGAGAATTTGAAGAGGGGTTCTGACTCCGTGGTATAAGATGAAATGAAAATCAAGCTGTATATAGAGGATAACAAGTCGATGAAGGTATTCAGATGTTTCGTTTGTCTTTACCCCTCCATTCGTCTTGGTTAACTGTATGTGTACAAAGTACCTGATGGCGGGGCAATTGAAATTTTTCGAACCGAGAAACCTCGACCGCATCCGAATCGCAGCATCATCAACACCGCGAATACCCCCCGTCCTTCCTCGTCCGGAACCGTCTAATTTATTCCGGAAATTCTCTCCCTGCTGCAAACAAATCCCCGTCAAAAATAGAAACCCTCCGCATAGAAACACAGCGACCATGGGCAAGAAGCGCGACAGAGACTCCCTCAGCAAAGAGGACGCCAAGCGCGACCCCGACGCCATGGACGAAGACAGCTCCTCCGATGAAGTGAGACCCCTTCTCACTCACCCCTACCCTCCCACCCAAAACCCCAAGGCTAACCAACCTCTCTTCTTTTCAGGACTTCGACATCGTCAACGTCGACTTCGAATGGTTCAACTTCGACCCCACAATCGACTTCCACGGCACCAAAACCCTCCTCCGCCAACTCCTCGACGTCGACAGCCCCCTCTTCGACACCTCCGCCCTCGCCGACCTCATCCTCTCCAACACCGCCGTCGGCTCCACCGTAAAAGTCGACGGGAAAGAAACAGACGCCTACGCACTCATAACCGCCCTCCCCCTTTCCTCCCAGCGCGCGAAACACACAGCCCTCGACGCTCTCGCCGAGTACATAGCTTCCAAGGCGGCGGCTTCGCCCGCGACGGCGCCCGTGGCGCAGATTCTGGAAAAGGACGCCAAGGCGGACGTTGGGCTCGTCGTTAGCGAAAGGCTGATTAACATGCCCTCGGAGGTGGCGGGGCCGCTGTACGCTATGCTCGTCGATGAGCTGGACGATGCCGTTTCCGAATCGGAGCCGTACGATTTCTCACATGTGATTGTTTTGTCGAGGGTATATCGCGAAGTCCTACCCGATCCGGAAGTCCGCGAACAGGAAGAAGGCGACGAGAGGCGGAGGAAGACGAAGAAGCAGAAAGGAGGGGCCGCGGCGACGCAGGCGGGAGGAGAAGGGGAGGTGTTTTATTTTCATCCCGAAGATGAGGTGTTTATGAGGTTTGCCGAGGCGAAGGGGTCGTTTGCTTTTACGAAGGAGGGGGAGGCTGTTGCGGATAGTAAGAGGGCGTTTCAGGATTTGGGCGTCAAGACGGAGGGGTTCGTTATGCTTTTTACTAGGGACAAGTTTAGGGAGGGGGTTAAGGCTGTTGGGGAATTTTTGAAGGGGTCGTCGTAAGAGAGAGCGAAAGAAAGCCCTGAGGGTATTGGGATTGTCATTAAGCCAGGTTTTTGGCATGGGAACCAAGTCGGTCTGACACGGCCATCAAGGAGAAAAGGAACCACTAAAGTAAAATAAAACACCCAAAGTGGGAAAAGAGAACAATAGAGTATTGGAAAGGGTAGAGAGAGGCCGAGAGAGAGGTTCATATTCCCACTTTACACCCCGTTAATTCCCGCGCCGCCCATTTTATATTTGCCTTAGACATGGATATAACCGTTCCTACTGTTACACAAAAAGAAGAGAGGTCCGGACGTCTTGGGGGGACAAGAAAAGAAGAAAAAGAGAAAACAAAAAAAAAAGAGAAAGACGAAAAAGGACGTGCTGCGTCTCTCATATATACAGAAAAAAGAGGTTCGAGAGAGAGACCCAACAGGGAAAAAAAAAGAAAAAGAAAAAGAAAACAACCCCCAATCCTACACTTCCTCTCTTCACCCATTTTTTTCTCGTTCTCGTTCTATATCCCTCCCATTCGGTGTTGATAACAAGTAACAAAAGAAAAAAAAAAAAAAAAGAGAAACGTATAGTCTTAACACGCCCACACGCCGACGATGCCATTCTCCCTCCCTTCGACAAGGTATCCATCCCGCAAGCACACGTGCTCGACGATGGACGTCTTCCTGCCTTCCTCGGCCGCCGCGATGCCGGCGCCGCAGTCCCATTGGCGGCCCTCGACCTTGTCGTAGACCTTGACGACGTCCTCGCCGGCGGCGCAGGCGATGCGGCGGGCGTCGAACATCATGCTCGTGATGGGGTTGTCGTAAGCGTAGGCGTCGTGGATGACGCCGGTTCGTAGGTCCCATATCTAGATAATTCAGATAAGCTTCTCGAGCCAACCGAAAAGAAAGAAGGAAAAAAAAAAAAAAAAAAAAAAAAAAAAAAGAAAAGAGACGAGAGTGTTACATACCCTGATACTCCGGTCTGCGCTCCCCGTAACGAGGTGCACATCATCAAACTGCAAACACGTAACCGGTCCCGTATGCCCGACCAGACTCCTATGCACCTGCCCGCTCCTCAAATCCCACAGCCTCACCATACCATCAGCCGTGCCGCACGCCAGCGCAGCATCAAACACCTGCAGCGCACCAACGAAATCCGCCGTCCCGTCCGACCCGCGCGCCGTGTGTCGCCAGTTGCCGTCGGAGCTGCCGAGGGTGGCCGAGGCCTGGGCGGCGGCCCACATGACGTCGAGCGTCTGCACGCAGCGGCCCTTGTTTAGGTCCCACTGGCGCAGCGTCTTGTCCGACGAGCCTGAGACTAGCGTGTCGCCGCGGAAGTGCAGCGCCGTGACCTCGTCGAGATGAGCCTGCAGCGTGAAGAGCGGGCACTCGGCCATGGTGCCGGCGGGGGGTTCAACGGGCTGGTCGTCCGGGTGGGCGAAGGCGATGCCGTCCTCGTCCTCCTCGTCGTCGCCGAAGCCGCTGCCGTAGGGGTCGTAGTGGGCCTTGCTGAGGTCCCAGAGGCGGACGGTAGCGTCCACCGAGCCGGTGGCGAGGATGTTGTGGTCTACCTGGAGAGCGCCTACAGAAGCCGTATGTCCCTCGAGGAGGCCGATGCAGCGGCCGGCGTTGAGGTCCCATACGCGGACGGTGTCGTCCATGGCCGAGGAGACCATGGTGCCGAAGGGCGCGTCGAAGTCGATGGCGAGGATGGTGTCTCGGTGGGCGCGGATCTCCCGGATGGCGCTGCCGGTCTCGTAGTGTTCGTGTAATATGGGCATGGATTTCCGGCGAATGCTCTTAACATTCTTGGTTCGGGTGGGCGTGGACTGGTTGGAGGGGATCTTTTCGTAGATGGACTGGGACATGAAGCCAACTTCTTCGGCTTCTATTATTAACCCATCGTCTTCGTCGTCGATCGGGGTGTGTCGGCCTGCTGCCGCGTTTTCTTGTGCAATTTGTTGCGCCTCTTCTAAGCGAGCCTCCATGTCGACAACTAGATGCAGAACGTTGGTTAGCGGCTGGACGGCAGCGGAGCGGCTCCTAGGTGGTTCCTAGGAAGGGAGGTTGCGGGCCATGTTGCCACAGTCCAACAAAACTTACTATCTTGTTCTAGCACGGCCTCGTCCTGTTCGAGATTCGCTAACCGATCCAATACCGACCTCCTCATGCCGGTCAAGTTGGCAATCTTGTTATCGATATCCCTAATCTCGCAGCTCGCCATATTCTTCCGAATCATCAACAGGTGCAGCTCGTGCATCATCGAGGATTTCTCCCTCTTTAGCCTAGAGACGTTCTCGGGCGATCCGTCAATATGCTCAACATCGTCTAGCAGCTTCCGTCCCCTCGACACCCTTCTCCTATGCTTCTTCCCCTCGTCGGTCATATCGGGGAAGCTCGCTTGGAAACCCTGAAAGAGCGAGTACGAGTTCTCAACGTAGGGGATATTGGCGAGCAACTCGTCGGACAGGGAAGTGAGGGCGCGGTGCTTGATCTCGTTCCGCGAGAGCTTGGAGCGCACGAGCTCGGACGGGGTGGTGCGGGCCATGGAGAAGACGCCGCGCTGGACCGAGGGTTGCTGGAGCTGCTTGTGCACGGCGGCCATGGCGTTGTGGTAGTGGTCGATGCGGAGGCCATCGCCGCTGGGAGCGGCGCTGGGGCTGGGGCCGGGACCCATGAGGTGGCTCGCGGTGGTGGTGACCTTTCTGCCAAAGTTCTCGAGGGATCGGGTCTGTTTTGCGATGGGCGAAAGCGCGCACGTGGGTTAGCGGATTTGGCCCGAGGGAAATAAAGGCAAGATTTTTTGAAGCTTTCGTGAGGTGGGGGCATGCAGAGAAGGCAAAACAAAAGGGAAAAAAGTCGACTGTAGCCTTTGGACGGCGAATCATGGGATCAAAGTGTCTAGTGTCGAAGAGAGTGACGTACGGATATCAGCGAGGCCTCGTCCTCGGCGAAGGAGTCGTCAAAGTCATGCTCGTGGTCACTGTCCGCCATGCGCTCGAATGCGGCAGAGGGGCCGAGTTGGACAAGTCGGAGCTGAGTCGAGTCGGGTGAATAGAATTAAGAGGTAAAAAAAAAAAACACAAGAGAAAATAATAATTACAAAAAAAAGAACAGAGAAGAAGAAAGAAGGCAGACGTCAAGTTGTTTGTCGTCAACCGCAGAGAAGCCAAAAAGGGGAAGGATCAATTCGAAGAGAATTGATGGTGGGTGGCAGAGGTCAGGAGGAGGTCGAGATCAAGGTAGCGTCGGAGCGTGTCGTGCATCAGGCCTGAACATCTGGATGTTTGGACGTTTTGGTTGATGTTGATGCTGGTTGCAGAGAGTCCGTCCAGAGCAAAGTCCAGAATCCAGAATCCAGACTAGTCTTCAATTGAAGAAGGCGTGTCGGGTCTTGGTCGGCTGTACGAGGTACGAGGTACCCTTGTACTTGTGGCGGACTCGGACTTTTGCTGTGAAGGAGCAACTTTAAGCTGGGGCGACAGTCTCAGTCTGGGCAATTCTGGGGCAAACTTGGGTTGGGGACAGGACTGGGCACCTGTAGCAGACACAATTAGAGTGTCGACAGCTGGCGGGCGGGGCTTGCGTCTCTGTGCTCTGTCTGTGCCCGTTATCCAAATTTAGTGTCCCTTGCAGGTTGATGCCCTGGAAATTGGCGGAGGGCTTGTGTGATACTTGCCACTGAACAGCCGGACCCACTATAAATAATATTCTAGTATAAAGGACGCTACAAAAAGTTATATCTTAACCTATATTATATAATAATAGAATAACCTTATTAACTAAATAAAATTATATTAAATAATATCTTCCCCTTCCTTTACATATTTTTACCCCTCTTTATATTTATTACTACCCTTTAACTTAATAATTTATTATATATAATAAAATATCCTCTTAATCTAAGCCTAAATTTATAATTATAGTAATTTATTCTAAATCTCTATCTAATTCTTTACTATATCAGCCCTTATATAATACCCCCTTTAATAAGCTCTTTATTTTATCTATACCTATATATACTTAATTAGGTTTAAATTAAGTAAATTCCCTAGTTATAGAAGGTATAGAATATTATAGTTATTAAAAATACTTTACTAAAAAAAGTAGATATAAGATAATATACTATCTTCTTAGATAAGAATATCTAGGTAAGTTATTTAGTATTTCTTTATAAAAAAAAGAAAATATAGCTTTAAGATATAATAATAATATTAATATTAATTAATTTTATTTTTATTTTTATATATAAGTTTACTATTCTTTTCTATAAAATATTATTATAGCTTTTTTCTAGGTTTATTATAAAGATCTAAGTAGTAAATACTAGTAACTAGCTCCTACTTAATTTTTAATTTTAGCTTATATTCTTTATTTAACTTAGTAATTACCTCTTTAGTATAGTAGTACTTAGTAGTAGTTTCTAGAGCCTAGTAGAACCTAAGGCTTTTCTTATTATAAGAAAATAAGCCCTAAAATATAAATTCTATATATTTCTTAAACTATAGGTAAATTATAGTTACTTTATATTATTCTATAGATATTTACTATATATAGTAACTACCTTTTTAAGTAAAAAGGAGAATTAATATTTTATTAGTCTAAATAATATATTTTTACTTTTTAAGAGTCTAGTCTTTTTACTTTAGATACTATTTTAGCTATATTTTCTTTATTACTAGTATTAATCTAGGCTTTATTATTAATTTTACTTTATAAAACCCTATAGACTTAAGAATTATATAGATTATTAATATAGAAATATTATATCCTAGTTCCCTAAGAAAGCTAGAGAGGTTAGTATAAGAAAGAATATAATTGTCTTTAGAAGATTATACTTTTTGAAGTAGTTAATTAATAACTTTATCTATTCTTTTCTTTAGGTAGCTAGAATATAGGGTATCTATAAGATATTTATCTTTAATAACTAAAGGTTCTTAGTTTAGATTAAATCTATACTTAATAGCTTATATATAGATATAGTTTATTATCTATTCTTAAATTCTAAGTTAAGATGTAATTTAGGTAGTAGTTTTACTTCTAAAAGGGGTTTTTAATATTATAATAAGGGCTTATATAGCTAGATCTATATATAGATATAGTAGTATCTTTAAAAAAGTAAAAATAGTTAAGTTAATTTTAAAGAAGGAAAAAAAAAATTATATGTGTGTGTTTTGATTTTTATAGTAGGAATGAATTTAAAAATATATTATTTAATTATATGGAATTATATATGTAATTAAAAAGAAATATGCATTTGTAGGGGGAGGGGTTTCAGGACATAACTTTTTGTAGTGTCCTTCGTACAATTGTCCTTCATAGTGTCAAGTACTTGTAAGGTTCAACCCAGCAGGGCAATAAGCTCTCTGCTCCCAGGCCAGGCATCTGAACCATCAAGTCGCAGTGGACGGCTGACGGTTGCAGGGGTCCATGTTGATCGTTCGAGCTGCTCATCAATTGAGCTTAATGCATTGAGATTGCTCAATGTTTCGTTTATGCGTCGGGTCTCCCGAGCCAGGCAGTGAAACAAACAACTTCAATGTTGATAATGATCAATTGATCAAGTGTCCGGTGGCTGCAGGAATTGCACTATAATCTAGAACGCTAAAACAGCACTACGAAGATTATTCAATTGATCCAATGCTAGTTCAAGTTTCGTCTCGGAAGAGGGCTCAATCGTTGTACTGCAATTCGGCTGGCAGGCGTTGCTGAGCTCAGCTTTCCCTCTGCGTCATCGTGCCTGCCCCTCAGTAGAATCGGTAAAATCGACACCCACAAGCAAATCCGAGTTCGATTTCCAATTTCCATCAGCTTTGGCAGCTGTGTTGACTCAACATCCGGAAACAGATATTGACCATTGAGCCCCTCCATCACCGATCTCACTCCCAAGCTCCCTCACCCTCCTGTCCTTATATTCCAAACAGCACCCTTTCATGTTCCCCGCCTTTATTCGCAGCCGCATAGTTCCAACTATGGATTCTGTAATTGACCTTTCCGATGCCTCAAAGGCACTCGATCTGGCCCGCATTCGTGCGCAATTGATGTAAGTTGCCCCTCTCTTTTTTTCCTCCTCCCTCCGATTTCCGGCAACCGGCATTTTTTTTCCCTGTCCTGGCGCATGCCCTTCGGAGTAAGCGCAAAGAACCCAGACAGCGGAAAGGAAGCAAAGACAAGAAGAAAGAAAAAAGCAAGACAGAAAAAGAAAGAAGAAGCGAGACCAGAAAATGCAAAGAAGGAAAAAAGAAAAGAAACGGCTCTACAGCCTCTGCTACATCACAAACTAACACATCTAACACATCTACTCCAGCCGCCTCGAAGACACAATCATCATGACCCTCATCGAACGCGTCCAATTCCCCCTCAACCGCAAAATCTACACCCCTGACGCCATCGACATCCCCAACACCAACCTCTCCTTCATGGACTGGTACCTCCGCGAGCAAGAGCACCTGCAGTCGCGCATCCGCCGCTACGACTCCCCTGACGAATACCCCTTCTTCCCCGACGCCCTCGAGGCGCCCATCCTGCCCCCGATCTCCTACCCGCCCATCCTCCACCGCAACGACGTCAACGTCAACGACAAGATCAAGTCCTTCTACACCGAAAAGTTCCTCCCCGCCGTCTGTCAGAACCGCGAGGATCGGGGGGCCCGCGCCGAGAACTACGGGTCGACCGCTACCTGCGACATCGCTTGTCTGCAGGCCATTTCGCGGAGGATCCACTTTGGCAAGTTTGTTGCCGAGAGCAAGTTTAGGCACGAGCAGGAGAAATATACGACGATGATCAAGGCGGGTGATAGGGATGGGATCGGTGAGGCTATCGTTAATAAGGCCGTTGAGGTGCAGGTTCTTGCGCGGTTGAGGACCAAGGCGGAGAATTATGGAAAGGACCCCGTGGCGAATAACGATACCGAGAGTTTGCCCAAGATTAATGTGGATGCTGTCGTGGAGATGTATGAGCATTTTGTTATACCGTTGACGAAGGAGGTCGAGGTTGAGTATTTGATGCAGCGGTTGGAGTAGAATAGTAATCGCGGCGCGAGGTGGTGAAGCTTGCTTTTATGGATAGATGCGATGGGCTTTGCTCCGGACGGATATTTCTTAGAGTTAAAAGGGTTAGGCGGCATTGCTACGAGCGACTTAAAAAAAAAAAAGGAGAAGCGAAGCAATCATGGGGGAGAAGACGGCGTTTGTCGGGTCCTCAATAAAACGTTGAACTCTTGCTATTGACCGTCTTGACTTGAGTGGCCACGAAACTGTGAACCGGCATCTTGTCAGACTTATACGACGGGCGCAGTAGCGATGTGCCTTCCTAAAAGTTGCCATCCTCAAATTCTTCCATTTTCCAATCGCCTTGATTTGGTGGTAGTACCTTGAAGCTTTGCCAGCTTCCCAACTAGGTCCTCCAACCGCGGCAAGAACGCCTTCCGAATCTCCGCCGACCACTTCATACTCCTCGCCAGAAGGAGACCAGATGAAACCAACTCCTCAACCTCATCCGCCGACCTGGGTAACTTTTCCCATATCTTCGCAGCGACCTGCTCAGAAACCCTATCCTCGACTCGACGCCTCAAAGCCCTCGTCGACTCAAAAGCAGCAGCGGTAACAGACTCCAAAAACCCCTCGTCCCAGTCCTTCAACACGACATCTCCAAGAAACTCGCCAGCGTAATCCGCAAGGACGACATTCCTCTCAAACCCCTCAAGACGCTCAACTCGACGAGCGGCCCCGCACGACGTAGACATCACCGCCAGGCTCCCGCAGCTAAGACCCTCGAGACAGGCAATGTTGTAAGAATCGTAGCTGCTAAGGCAGAGGTTGACATCCGCCGCCTTGTGGAGGTCTTCGCGGCGGAAGAATGTAGGCGGATCCCGCGGCTCGGGATCGTTCGGCCATGAAAAACTGTTGATCACCTTGACCATGAGATTAGGCCGGCGTTGGTTCGCGCGGGCGGCGGCCTCGAGTAACACAGTGACGGCGCGGTTCGAAGCCCCCTCCCAACGGGTCACGATGACGAGCAGGAATTTCGTGGTTGGGGATAGGGCTGCCAGGGCTCCCGCCACAGCTACATCCCTGGAAAGGGCTTTTGCGACGACAGCGCGTCCGATTCGCGTGAGGAGGAGGACGTCTTCGGGGGCGTATCTCTCGCCGATGTCGAAGCCCCAGACTTGCATGGCGTATCGGATTACAAGCCGCTTTGCTCGGATTTTGTCCGCCGCTGAGCAAGCGATCTCTCGTACGCCGTGGTAAAAGATGTCTTCTTTGTCGGCGGTGCTGAAATTGTGCCCGCGATCGAGAAATAGCAACTCTTCGAGGACGTTTGAACTCACGGGCAAAATGGAGTCGAGCTTCCATCCGTGCTGGAGGATCTTGGTGTCGGCCCACAGGCCTAGATGTTGGAATTGGGGAAAATCGAGGAATCCCTTTCTCTTGTCCCCTTTGGCTTCGGAAAATTGCTTTAGGCCCTTTACGGTGGTAATGGGATTGGTTCCGTTTACATGGTTGGTGCCGTTGACGAGGTGCCGAATCGGACCCTCCCAGGCAAAGTCGGCGTCGACGAGAACCGGGCGACTAGCATCCGGTTTGGGCTCGGCGATGCCTTCCACCAACCCGCATATGGATCTCACCTCACCGGCAAAGTACAGCGTTGCTATTTGCGGAGTTCTCTGCGCTTCCCGAGCGAGATGAATCGCGTAGGCCGTCGGCAAAGACATGTACTCCTGGACGATGAGAACGCAACGTTCCTGCGGCTCGAGGAGAGCCTGGAGAGAATCGGCAGCGGGTTGGGCGAGGGTGACGCCGTGGATGTAGTCGTCGTCGATGTGACTGTATTCGTTGGAAAAGTCCTTTATGATGCGTCTCCTTTTCTTGGCGTTGAATTCGGGGTTATCGAACGGACTGGCACCGGCCCTTACACTTTCCAGGGCTGCTGCGGCAGCGCCATGGACGGAACGCTGCCGGACGAGGTTGAGGCGGAGGTCGAGACCGAATTTGGCAAACAAATTTTCGAGGAAGAGCGCGAGGGAAGGAGAGTAGATCCTGTGCGGAAGAATCGCCGGCGAGAGATTAACGAGAACCCTCTCGATTACGTGCTGGTGACTAGCCACGTCCCTTAGATACGCCAGCTCGATCCCATGTCGGCTTTCAATCTCCCGGAAGAGGCGAACGGTTTCCCTCGGAACGGAAGGGTCATGGTCGTCGCGATGCGTGCGGTACAGAATCCGCGCCTTGAGCTTCGCGGCGATCACCTCGACGTCTTCGTCGGGGTTGTATTCTATGCAAGATCGAGGCATGTACATCGGGCCTATTAGGATCGTGCGACCCACGGCATCCTGGTAGCACCTTTCGCCTATGATGGCGGCGAGGGCCACGCCGCCGCCACCCAAAAGTCGGCAGGCTTCCCAAGACACCCAAGCAACGGTGTCAACGATCCGGTACGATGGCACGGCCCCTGATGCTTCGGTGGGCAAGTACCATAGACGTTCGGCAAGAGACTCGCCAGTGGCAATCCGCCTTGCATAGCTGTATATCGTTGGGATCGTCTCAGGCTCCAGCTGAGAGGCATACGTACGGATTGCGTCAAGCTTCTTGTTCCATGTAGACGAGAGATCGACGAGGAGAGGAGCAGCGGATGGACCGACAATCTCTTCCGCGTAACGTCTAATTTCACAACTACCCCACAAGCTGGCATACGGCAGGTCCTCGTAAAAGAACAGAGTCGTCTTCGTCTTTTTGCCAGGCTGTTCTGCGGCGGTTGAAGAGACGATTTCCAGAACCGCATCTCGCACAGCAGAGTGATCAACATGACGCGCGAGTCCTAGTGGTACGTAAATAGTAGCGCCGGCGGCGATCGCGTTCGAGATGAACGGAGTAAGCTTTTCAACGACCGTTTCGTATACCGCATCTTGGCGGGGAGAAGTCGCGTATTCCACGCCGGGCTCGTCATACCGCACACTGGAATCCGGTAGATCGAGACTAACAAGGTCACATCCCGCCAGTTTCGCGAACGCAGAGTCCTCGGATTTACGTATCTGGGTGATGGTGGCTTGGGTGGCTTCCAAGACGTCTGGGGATTGCGATGCGGGTAGGAATGAGAATGTGCTCTGGTCGAACACGGTGACTATGAGGGAGTCGTGGAAAGGCGGGTTGGTGATGGGGCCGAAGCAGGAGAAGGCGATGTCGTCTGGGTGCGGAGAGATGTAGTAGCTTGAGTACTTTGGCTTATACGCCGAGGCTGGCTCCGGAGGAGGCGGGGCCGGGTTCCCGTCCATGTTGAGAACCAATTGATTTGGACTAGAAGGGGTCTTGACAATGGTAGAGTTTTCTGAGAGGAACACGACAACTGATTCAATGAAAAGGGAGAAAAGGGGATTGAAGTGAAGCGAAACGCGGCCGGCTTGACGAAGACATGATGGATCCATCGTTGATTTATTATATCGTGTACTAGTACTTTATAGCCGGCTTCGAGGCCAGCAACGCCAAGCAGACTCCGGGACCCACTCCGGCCGGTCCAATCCGAAAGAGCCGGCGCCGCCGCAACCACCGGAGCTCGTTTTTCTTCTTCCCTTTTTCTATCTCTTTTACTTTATCCCTTAGTCAATTGATGAATCTAGAAAAAGAACGAACGAGCTAGACAGCAAGCTTAAGCTGGATGACATTTTGAGAATTGACGATGGAGGCGAAGTCTACATGTACTAGTACTTGCCATCCATCCTGTGCTCGATCCCGTAAATACATGCACGGTATTGCTTTCGAGGCCGTCGGCTTACCCGGCGTGTGGTATTATTGATCGATAATGCGGGCTGGTTCCTCCGGCACAAACCTGCCTCTTGATTTCTGTCATCGATCACTGGTGAGAAGATCAGGCCCCTCCGGGATTACTCGGAACCCGTACAAGCTCTCCGTGCACAAGTTCGCAATGTGCCACTTTCAAGAAGCTCTTCTGGGCACACATGGGATCAAAGGCATGCGAATAATATCCGATTGCTGCTGGCATGCGGGACCCCTGCTGCCTGGCCCATGCCTAGCTGGCCGATGTGATTAAAGTACATCATTATCGTGCATGTACGATGTTGTAATATCACAGCGACGAATCGGGAAAACAGCCAATATTTCCAGCCTCACCTGCCAAACATCCAAGTCGTTCCATGGTCCAAAGACGTGCATCCCTAGTTGTGTGGCGAGATGACGTGGACGGGCAAGCCAAGAGGATCTCCAAAGTACCAATCGCAGCTTCTGAGGGTGTCACTCATGTACGCACCGCCAGAACGTACCTAGCTCGAAACGCCATCGTTCCGTATTTCGGCCTGCCGGGGCATATGAAATATATAAGAATAGCGCATTTTGTTCAAAGGGTGGGCAGGGCAGGCTGCCTTATCGGCTCTCACGGAGGCGCTGCGTGATCACGACGTGGGCCCCAGGCGAGGCGAGGCGAGGCGAAGGCAGGGATGGCACCCATCCTATGCGTAGTGGTTCATGGGCCGGCAAACCTTGCAACGTTCTTCCCCTGAGATAGGAATCCCATAAAGCAATGTGAACTCATCAGGCCCTTTGACCCCAGCTGATGCCGGCCCCCCTTGCACGAAAGTTGTGTGAGATGGAATCGACCATTCTTGGGTGACGAGAATGGCTTGATCTCGATCCTGCGTAGAATGGGTAGGGATATTGATACATAGACTATAGAAGATATATAAAAAAAAGAAGCCCTCCCCTGCACCGAGAGAGGAATGTTACATAGCGAGCCTTCCATTCTTACTCTGTCATCAGATCTAGTGTGTCTATCTAGCATTGACCACCAGACCATACGCTCCAATCTAGGGGTTTTATCCGCAATAAGCCACAGCACGTTTACGTCTATGTTGTACTTGTTAGTATACGTGAGTATGAAATGGACGTTCTTTACGGATTGCATGATGCCCGAGACTACTCGGAGCAGGGGAAGCTTTGGCTAGAGTAAGTCCACCAATTTCTCCTGTAACTGCCCGCCCTCAGAAATCCTCGGGCCATGCCATCAGCGATGATAGGGCTTTCAAGACTAAATACTACTCTTTGCTGCGCAGTATTGTAGCTGTTCACGGACTGGGCGGCCTGGTCTTCGACACATGGACGAACAAGCGGACCAAAACCTGCTGGATCAAGGACGTCCTTCCCGATAAGTTTCCCCACGCGCGAGTCATGGCATTCGGATACAATGCCAAGAGAATCAACCACGGAGCGGAGATTGAGTTTCTAGATGTGGCACGACAGCTGTTGGCTGGCTTGTCACGGAAGAGGAGCCGACCCGAGGTAGGCGAGCTCGAGATGTATCAACGTCTCTGACACGGAGAAAGATCAAAGATCAAAGAGCAGAAAAGGAACAAGAGGAGAAGTTTGGATTTGGTTATGACCGAGGGGTGAATTCCTGTCTTATCCTCCGCTTGCACCAGAAAGAGCTCTGCTGCGGTGTCTAGTTCTATACCCCAATGGGGTATCATGATAGATTCTTCCACATCAGCCAGCTCCACACCGACTAACACGGGTTTTTGATCTTACCCACAGGAACGAGATAGGCCAATTCTGTTCATCGCGCATTCCCTCGGCGGTCTAATCGTGAAGAAGGTATGACATGCCCCAAGTTTCCCTCGAGACGGAGAAGAGAGAGTGAGATTGAGAGAGACAGAGAGAGATCCACAAATCTATCCCAAGATGGGCAGCTGCAAAGTCGCAAAAGCTGCAGACACGCAAAGAAATGTAAGAAGCAAATGCTAAGCCCCAAAACCTTTCCGTGTCACACAGGCAATCATGCTGTCCAATGAACGAGCAACCGTCCTCGCCAATTGTGCCCGAGGCTTCGTCTTCTTCGCCACCCCTCACTGCGGGAGCAAGCTCGCCGACATGCCTGCGATTCTGCAGACCTTTGGCAAGTTTGTGCTGGATTCACCGACCAACTTTATCCGGAATCTGTCGACGAAATCGCAAGAGCTGTGAGTTTTTTTTTTATTGATTTTTTTATTGATTTTTTTTATTGATTTTTTTTTTGGCTCATTTTTATTTATTTCATTTTTCGCCTTATTTTTCTACTTTCTTTTTCTTCTTCCTCCTAATCTTCTTCTCTGTCCCAATGGCAGCGGGCATCTAACTTTCGATTTCATTGGTGTAAGTGCTAAACTGGTGAGAACATCAGAGAGGAGCTGCATCATCAGTTTTGCGAGTTTCTCGTCTCCCGCTCGATCCCCGCCGTCAGCTTCTACGAACTCCTGAAAACTAGAAAATTCATCAAAAAGTCAATAGTAAGAAATATCTAAAATAAAATAGAAAAAATAAGAAGAAGAAAATCTATAAGAAGCCACCACTTCTTCGGTGTCTCCCAACCAGCGCCTGCTAACCCCAAACTCCTCAGATCGTAACTCGGGACTCTGCCATCCTAAACGTCCCCGATGAAGACGCCCTCGGCCTCAACGCCGACCACTCCCAAATCGTAAGGTTCAAATCCGGCGGCGACGATAACTTCCAGGTGGCCATCCACCGGATCCAAAGGCTGGTATCGCGCATCGGCCACCTTGACGACCTGCAACGCTCTGCGCGCAAGTCCACATTTCTGCCCTTCATGCCTACGAGGTTCTTTCTGGGCCGCAAGGCCGAATTGGCCCAGCTAAAGGACTGGTTCTTCCCGGAGGGGGAAGGTGGAGGAGGCCATTCTCTGGCTGCTGTCTCTGATTTCAAGGTCGTGGCGCTGTTTGGAAAGACTGGCGCGGGCAAGACGCAGTTAGCCCTGAAGTATGCAGTCACCCACAAGGATGCATACGACTTCGTCTTCTTCCTAGATGCGACATCGAGCGTGGTTCTCCACAATGAATTCGCAAAACTCCGCTATAGCCTCAAGATATCCGACATTGGCGGAGACCCCGTCATGCAGATGAAGCAGTGGCTCATATCGCAGGCCCCGGGCCGCTGGCTGCTCATCTTCGACAACGCGAATAACCTCCAAGAGGTCATGCCCGTAATCACCCCCGTCGCGCGATCGGGCCACATCATCATTACCACGCAGGACACTCGTGTTGGCAGCAACGAGTTCGTTGATAACAGCCTCGAGGTACCTATGCTGAGCCCCGAAGAATCCCAGCAGCTCCTCTTCGACCGAAGCGGCATGGAGTCGCCCAAACTCGACGAGGTCGAAGTCGCCAAGCTCCTCGTCGAAGAGCTCGGATACCTGCCGCTGGCCATCAACTCGGCCGGCACGTACATTAGCGTGCGGCAGAAGTCCGTCAGGGAGTACGCAGATCTGCTCCAGCACCACAGTCGCGAGATGCTAGATCACCGCCCGGACGCCTCGTCGTACGAACGTTCCGTTCTGGCTGCCCTAGAACTCAACTTTCAAGCCATCGATACTCACCCGGGGGCTTCGGCGTTGTTTTCCCTCCTCGTATTCCTGGACCGCTCAGAGGTAACGGAACCGTTCCTGGTGAGAGGCGTCACGCCGCAGCATCGATGGGGCCTCGACGGCGAAAATACCCTCGTCGATCCGGCATCTCGATACGTTCCAGCTGAGCTTATCGCTCTCATCAACAATGGACCGGCTTTTGACGAAGCGATTGAAGATTTGGTTTCCCATTCTATCATATCTTGCGAAAAGAGAGATGGGGTCGGCCGCTGCATTACCATCCATCCGCTGTACCACAAGTGCGGTCGACTTCGGATGTCGCGAGAGGAACGACAAAAGCATGGAAGTGGTGCTCTTTGCTTCTTGGCCCATGCTTCACCAAGCGATGAGTATTCTCTAGAAGATAGGTTCGTCAAAACCCATCCACAGATCGATAAAACCCTGATCCTTGTTTGTTACAACTAGCAGTTCCTCTAAGCTAACAAACCCACCTACTCTTTCCTAGCCTCGGAACCATCGGACGAGCTTGCTTGCCGCACATCTACCACTCCCTCATCATGTACAAGGAACCCGAAAACGGCCTCAACTTAGCCTACCTCGACTCCATCGCCCAACCCGACACGCCACTAACACCCCGGGAACTTATATCCGCCATGATCCTCGACGCAGAGATTATGTACGGCGAAGGAGACGAGCAAAAGAACCGCGCCCTTCTCGAATGGGCGCACGATCTCCTCGCATCCTCCAAGAACATCTACCTTCAGGCGCGGGAGATGGAAGTGGGCCTGGCCATCGGGTACTACGAATCCGGAAACTACCTCGGGGGCGCCGACGCCGCGAAGGCCTTTTTGGGTCCCGTCAAGGACGCCCTTGCGAAAGACCCCGGCCTCCGGAATTGTCTGACCAATGCTCAAGTTGGCGTTGTCGAGGTTACCTTGGCCGAGTATCTCGTAACCGAAGTCTCCGTCGACGACAACTTCGACGAGAGCTTCGGCCTTCTCCGGGGATGGAAACCTCTCGACCCAGACAAACCGAGCAGTAAAGAGAAGAATACCCTAGGGATATTAAGCCAGACGCTGGGAAAAGTCCACAAAGACCACGGAGACTGGGAAGCCGCCGAGGAGGAACTCCGTCGGTACCTGGACCTCTACGCCGTCAAGGGCCAGCAATTCGAAGGCTGGGCGGCGGGAGACCTCGCACACGTCCTCATGGAGATGGACAGGCCCAAAGCCGCCGAGGTCGTCGTGCAGGAATACTTGGCCCCGAGGCAGGGGCTTCTCACGCCTAGCGAACGCGCGAGGGACCGTCGGAGCGATACCATGTATCTCGAGATGCAACTGGGCGAGGCGCTTCTGTTACAAGGGCGGAATGCTGAAGCCGAGGAGGTCTTCCAGGAACTCTTGGCTCGGTTCCGCACCTTCGGGCCTCTTCCCCCCTTTGAAAAGTTTCGCTTCTTCTTCTCACAGTGCGCCCTAGCTCGCATCAGGCACTTGGAGGGCCGTTACAAGGAAGCCGTCGAATCGTGGGAGGCTGCTCTGGAGACGGCTGTCAAGGAGCTTGACACGGAGCATCAGGAGGGAAAGTGGGGTCGTCGTACGTTCTTTCCGGGCATCGTATTGCTGAGCATGGCGGATTGTCTTTATCGGCTGGGGGAGAAGGAGAGAGAGAGTGCGAAGGACTTGCGGGAGGAGGCGACGGGGATTTTGGCTGAGGCGGCTACGCAGCGCTGGGTGTTGGGATTGGGGACTTATTGGCTGGCTTGGGTGAAGGGACATCTGCCCGAGGCTTAAATCAAGAGCCTCCAAGTCTCATAAGAACGGTACTTTTTCGTATTCAGTCTTGCTCGTACACTTTACATAGCCAAGGTGTGGTATTCGCCAGGGCCACAGCTTATCAACAGTTTTCAAATTCTCATAGCCACCACAGAATATTAAGGGCCTGTATTTTTGAGACCTCCAAGGACTGATATACCTTTTCCCGCTTCTCCCCTAAAGACTAATACATTAGAAGAAGTAGACGGAGATAAACTCCTCAGTATAGAAGTAAGGAGGTAACTCTCCCCTTCTCCCCGAACGCCAGTCTAATGATAAAATATACCCAAAGAAGAAAATAAATAAACGAGAACGAAAAAGAAGACACAAGAAAGAGAAAAAAAAAACGCGGTAACGATACCGATACTTCCTCATTGACTCAACGACGAACTTCTCTTACACCTCTCGATTCCTAGAGAAGAGCCGAAAGCCCGCCTTCTCTTTCGTCGGAGGCATCCGGATCTCTGGAGAAACTTCAGCCAGCGGAGACGAAGGAGGACTATCCGGACCGCCATCAGCCCCCTTCGGTCCCCCCGGTCCTCCCGGCCCTCCCCCAGGCGGGCCCTTCTTAATACTCTTCCACTGCATCCCCAAAGCACAAAGAAACGTCGCAACCGCCAACCCCGTCCCCGTCAAAAACACCCTCGTACAAGCAAAATTATACGCCTCCACCACAAGCGGCCTATATCTCTCCTCCACCTTCCCCAACAGCTCCGTCGCGCCGCTCTCGACAATAACGTGCCCGCCGCCGTCCAGCCCAGGAACGTGCCGCAACCGGCTCGCGAGCAAGTTATTCAGGATCGTCTGGCCGACGGAGACGAAGACGGCGGAGCCGAGCTGCTGCGAGAAGAAGCTGATGGCGATGCCCGTGGAGACGTCTTCGGGCGGGAATACGGTTTGGACGGCGAGGTTGACGGTCTGCATGCCGAAGCCGAGACCGAAGCCCGTGAGGAATTGGTAGGCGATCCAGCGCGAGGAGGGGGTGGTCTCTGTGAAAGTGGAGAGGAGGCCTTCGCCTACGGCCATTATGGTGGGGCAGAGGAGCATGGAGGGGACGTAGTAGCCGAGTTTTTGGGTGGCTGCGCCGGAGATTATGGAGGAGACTACGATGGAGAGGACGAGGGGGATGGTGTAGATGCCTGATTTGACAGGGTCGACTCCGAGGACGGCTTGGACTGTGGAGGGAGTTAGAGGGTTATGGTTGAAGGCTTTCAGGGTTGAGAAGGGAGGGAGGCAACTTACACCAGAGAGGTACGTAGTAAATAGCCAAAATCATAGAGCCGGCAAGGAATACCATAAACCCAGCTCCCGCCAACATCGACCTCTGCCGAATAATCCTTAACGGCACCGTCGCCGTATCAGGCATGAGAACCTGCACCGTCGCGAACCCGATGAACATGACGACGAAGACGACCAGTAACGCCACGACGCGGGCATCTTTCCACTCGTACTTGGCACCGCCCCACTGGAGAGCGAGGAGAAGCGCGACAATGGCCGGCAGGAAGAAAAAGGTGCCGAGCGGGTCGAGGCGGAGGATGTGCTGCTTTACGGAGGCGGGGGGACGAGGGGGTTGGGGGATGTCGAGGAAGAAGAAGAGGGCGATGAGGGCGACGCCGCCGACGGGGAGGTTGATCCAAAAGCACCACCTGGATTAGGAGGAGTTTTTTGTTAGTTTGGGTGATGGGGGAAGGATATATAAAGGGACATTTGGGACTTGCCTCCAATTCACGGCGCCTGTGAAGGCTCCGCCGATGAGCGGACCAATAACGGAGGAGAATCCGAAGACCATACCAAAGATTGCTAGACGAGAAAGAAAGAAAAGAGGTTAGCAAGGCGAGAGACTTTTTCAACTCTCAAGAGTGTTGGCCTACCTTGGAATACTGGTCTCTTGGCTAGCGGAACCATGGGAATCATAATCATCATCGACCCAGTGAAGATCCCCGCCGATCCAAACCCAGCAATCGCTCGCCCGGCAATGAACACGGCAGACGTCGGCGCCGCTGCGCAAATGACCGAGCCAACCTCGAAGACTACGATGACAATCAAGTACGTCCTAAATATAGAAAAACGGTCAGCCATTCAGTTCGGTTTCATCTGGCAGACAAGATCCGTAAAACTAACCACTTGATGTGATAAAACTTAAATATTCTCCCAAACAACAGCTGAGACGCCGCCGTGGTAAGCATGTACGCCGATCCATACCAACCGATATCACCGAGACTCTGAAAATCATCTGTTATGCGCGGTATCGCCGTCGCGATAATCGTTCGATCCAGAGCGACAAGGAACAGCGCCATAAAATTCGACAGCATAATCGACCAGAACCGCAAACTCTTGGGCTTAAAGTTCTTTTCCGGGTCCCCGAATGGACCCCCGGGAGGACCACCGCCGCCAGGAGGAGGAGGACCTCTCAGTCCTTTGCCCCCCAATGCAGGAGAATCTAGGCGCCCTACCCCAGCTCCACGGAGAGTCTCGGCAAGAGCGTCGGAGGGGGAGGGAAGGGGAAGCTTTGAAATGCTGCCCTCTCGTCGTGAAGATCCACTAGGTGTTGAGAGTCCGTCTTTGGCAAAGAGGGCGCCGTGTGCCGCGAGGTCGAGATCGGATCGCGAGGAACCCCCGGCGTTTAAGTTCTCCATTGCGACGTCGAAGCTATCTCGAGGCCCGACAGAGTGGCTCGAGCCTTCTCGCTTGGCGAGCCTGCGAGGGTTCTTCAGCGGTCTCAGGGGAGGATCGGGCAGTGGCTTGTGATTGAGGTAATATCTCTTGTCGTAGGGTTCAGAATCGGCCCAGTAGCCCTCGTAATCCCTAGGGTAGTAAGGCTGTTGGTAATAAGGCTGGAGCTGCTGAGGTTGTTGTTGTTCTTGTTCTTGTTGGTGCTGGGGCTGATGCTGCTGATAGTGATAGCTTCGGTCCTGATGGTAACCATAGTCCTCGTCCTGGTGCGGCTGCTGATGGTATTGGTAGTCCAGGTCTAGGTCGTGCTGTGAATAGTTGTGGGAGGAGTGAATTTCGCGCGAATCATGGCGGTGGTGGGAGGAGATGGTGAATTCAGAGGCTGAAGCAGCCGGGGAACGGCCAGCCGTGGGGGAGTCTTCTCCCCAGTGAGAAGAGCGAGCCATCGGAAGAGTGGAGGGAAGGGAGAGAGGTGTGCCCTTTCGGAGATTGGATGCGGCTTATACCTAGTATGGGGGCGTGTGTATGCAGTCTTTTGCTTTTCTACTGTATCCCCCGGTGGCTCTTCTGCAGACCAGCGCTGCTGCTTATGCAGATCTCCTAGTAGCACCGAGTCCTAAAAGAGAGTGGTGACACTGGGGCTTGCTTGAGCTCGTACAGAGTTGCTGAGCTTCAGGAAGGCCGGGTGGCTTTCTCTGTGATTCCCTCGGAAGGGCCAATGATGGCTGCGCAGGTGGAGTTCCGGTGAGATGCCGCGCCAGAGAAGATGTCACAACAGCAAACCGGACGCCACAGGATGAAGAAAGTATGCGTAGGTGAACAGCGGAATGGTGAGCGCAGGATGTAAGCTGCAGCTTGCTATTTACGGCATCAAGAGGGACGTCGGAGTTTATTCCCCCGTCTTTTTCCGTTCTTTTCGTGTGTAACGAAGAAGTAGATATAAACAGGTTTGTTTCCGCTGCGGGTTTGCGAGGCTGTGCGTGTGCACCGTGAATCACCGAATTAGGGCTACAATGAAGAAGACAATGAAGTAAAACGAAGAAGGAACGATGGTACGGAGCAAGAGAAGCCCGGGTTCGACAAGAGAAATGAGGGAGGAAGAGGGAGAGAGAGAGAGAATGCAGGCGAGCGGGCGAGTCGAGGACAATAACTCATTAAAGATGCACCAGCACTGAAACTAGAAACACGAAACTTCGATATATAAGATGAGATGTTTCCCAATGCCCCCCATTCTGGAAGAAGAGAGTTTCAGGGAATAGAGACCCGGAGTGTCAGTTTGGAGATACGGGTCTCACAACATCAACTGACGAGCCTAGGAAGAAAAAAGGAAAAAAAAAAAAAAAAAAAAAAAAAAAAAAAAAAACTGGAAAATGAAAAGAGAGCACGATAGTGCCTCTGACAAGACCGCACAACATTGAACATCCGGGTCCGGACGGGAATTGGGGGCATATGGACATATATGCCCGGAGAGCATGACCGAACATCCAGCCCAATCGCGTCAGGGCTTCTTTACGTCCAAAAGCCACCAGACCATGTCTCTGTCTTGATCGAGGGCTATGTACTTAAGGTTTGCCACCATCTTGGCGGTTTGGCGGTGTCCGGGTCTCCTCTTCTCTCGGTAATCTTTGAGTCCCCATTCTTCTTTTTCTCATTCAGAACGGTCGCACTCTGTCATACTTGACAGTTTCCCCGTGGAAGCAGGGTGATGCACGGTAGAAGGAGGGAGGTGCCGATAAAGGATAAAGACAGTGGCCGACGGAAAATTGCCAGGCGGGTGAGCTGAGTGGTTCGCCACGAGTCAACCGCATCTCAACTGCATATGAGCGGGGCAACATTGCATCGTGCGTTGCTTGTTTCTGTTGTCAACGAGAGCAGACGCGACTTCGATGGTCTGTTGTCCTGTCTCGACCCAGGAACTGCAGGTAAATCTTCTCATCTTCTCGATTTGCTTTTTCTCCGTATTTAATATGAGAGCGGGTCTCCATGTCTCACCTGCCTTGTTTGGCTCTGCGAATTACCTGCATGGAGAAGGAACACTGAAGATCCTCTCATCGAAGACGAGACGTGGTAAAGAAGAGACAGTCAAGCAATAGAGGCTCCAATGCGGTATCATTTTTCAATCACTGAAGATTGCAGTGGACCGAGTAGAAGATACGAAGCTATTCCCAAATAAAAGGGCATACTTCATTCACATTCGGTGGAAGCTGGCGATGCCAAAGCAAGGGGATGAACCTGCGCTATTCTGTACGGGTGTTGGTGTCCATCCTGTCATCCGGGATGGCGTTGGGGAAGTCCAGTCCAATTCAGCCCAGTCCGGTTGGACAGTAGGCGCAGGCTCGAGGCCACAAAGGCCAGGCCATCCACAGCCGAGCCTGCGGGTACTTGTATTGGCTGGGATACCGGGGGCTTGGATAATAAAGAATAACGGGTGGGCAGGGCCCAATATCTAGACGGGATAAGTCGACGCTTAATCCTCAGCTGCTCAGCGATTGGACGCAGGCGGTGAGAGTTAGTGACGATAGTGACGCATGGAGTGCAGGAGAGACACCATCAGATGCGTTGATGCGATAATACGAACACAGCCTGTCTCTTTTGCATGTCACGCATAATAGGCAGTTCGAGCCAACATGGAGCTGAGGCAGCTGTGCCGACGGTTAAAGTGGTGAGAGATACTATACAACTTGAAGCAATCCGGGATGAAGCAGTGAGCAGTCCAACCAATTCAGCAATGTTGGGTGGAGGGTCCTTGGCGGAGAGCTAGTTTGTCGGCGTTGATGAATCAATTGGAAATAGCGACGCGACAAGAGCCCACCAGGTTTAATTGCATGAACCAGTCAAACTTGGAACGTGTGTGTTCGAGTCTTCAAGATTGGGGATGGGATGATGATGCAAGGTGAGAACCTGATCCAGGAATACGAGCAACAGAGCCCACGTTTAGATTGTGATAATGCCAATGCCACTGCCAATGCCACTGCCAATGCCTGCCGCCAGTTGATATCGGCTGCACAATCAAAAACAAAGGAAAATGGAAGCTGCTCAACCTGTCCATCTTGTCATTTGATGATGTCTCTCTCTCTAAATATCTTGTCCATCCATCTCAAGCAAACGTGTCCGCTCCTCTCCTGTCCACTGAGGTGCTTGACAAGAGTACTAATATTGATGTAAAGTGCTTGTACCGAGTAGTCCAGACATCGTTACAGTTGGCTGATATGAGCTTCCCTGCCAAAGACGAACCACCACCCGGCGACATAATCCAGGGAGACGAGCAGATCAACCAACTCACGACATCTGCCGATACGAATCTGTTCAAGACAAGACATATCAATCATCATCACTGGCGGACATCAATTACCACGGTTGTCTCGTGCAGCTCCCCAAATTTTTTCTTCGTATAAAAACTCGGTCCCCAGCCCTTGCAGCCCACCTTCTTCACTTGGTTCACCGGTTGCCAGGCATTGCAAAGTATAAAGGTAATGCTGGGGTATTGCTGGGATAGTACCAGGGTCCTGCAACTGCAATTGCACGAGTATCACGAGTATGAGTCTGCTCTCCCTTGCATCGTCGAGTCTGAGCGGGCGGGCAGTGCGCTGGGCTGGAGTCTGGCATGAACAATGAGTGAGTATTAAGCCTTGGAAAGCGGCTTGAGTTGAGTTGTCCTCGTAGCCCTTGGAAACAAGCTCCATGGAAGCTTTTCCCCCTTCATTGCTCTCGCTCGAGCCTTCTCGTAATCCTCCTCTTCTCCGTCCATCTTCATCCATCTCCCTCTTCCTCCTCCCTTCTAGAAGAATTCCGGGTTTGTCAACGAGAAGGGTAGATTTAAAATATAGCCTGGACGCGGGGAAATCATCAATTGATCACAATTCATCAACCATCTTCTATTTTCTCCGCATCGCACGGGCAATCACTGTTTCACATTTAGTTCAGCCCTGCCATTGCCCGACGAATTGTGCCGAAGACCAGCTCCAAGCTTCCCACAACAGAAACGACAGAAAAAAGTGCTATTCGAGCTCAAGGGAATCATACAATCAAGTCAGTCTCTTTTCCAGGGTCGAGTTGAGTGTAACTCTCGGATCAGGAGTGAAGGTGAGTTGAGTTGTTGCATTCTCGTGATTCGCCAGCACTCCCTTTTGTCAGCGAACTACGGAGGAGGCTGCTCCTTCCTGTCCCACTTCCCCAAGCCTCACCGAACTTTGATCAGGATTTCTGCCTAGAATCGAGGAGCCGCGGAGGTGTCAACCGCTCGCAATTGAACATCAACTCAGCCCCTTCACGTAGTCCGCATGTCCCTGCGGAACATCAAGACATCTAGATAGATCAGTTTTCAGTTTGCTCTTCCCCCCCCCCCCCCCCCCTCCCCCTCCCTTTTTAGAAAACCCCTTCGAACACTGCGGATAACCCCCCTTTTCTTTCTGCGTCCAAGGTCAGCGGGCAGTCACCTTCGTCAACTCGGCTGTCACACCGCGGCTTGTTAGTGATCTTGTATGTCCTAATCAATTTGTCTTCACTCTCTCCAGTCCCCACTATTCTTGCTGTTCTCATATTCGTCATACCACGACCCTCAGTCAGGCCTATCCTTGGTCCTAAAATAGCCAACCTATAGGGCTGGGGACTGGCTCCATCAGGGCACAGTGAAGCAAAGAACACTGAAGCTAATACACCATCAAAGCTAGTGATAGCTGAGGCATTGTACTACGAAGTATTTAAGTCGAGGTAACACACATTAGTTCTGACCGCCAACGCTTTCCTCGGTCGTCAGCCATAACCTCACCCGACAAGCTCGGGTGCTTCGACGTGTCTCGGGCCCGAACCTCCTCACGGAACTACCCGAACCCGAGGACAACCTTCCTCGCTCCCATTGCTCGCCCATCATCACTCACGTTTGAGCCCGAAGTAATTCGGGCATTACCTATCTTGGTCTATTCGGCTACCGGCAGCTCAGTTGGGACCGTCGGGAGCCAAGGTGACTACTAAATTCCCCGACAAATTAAAACGTAAAATTACCTGACGAGGACTGGAGTCTCGATGGCTGGGGAACCGCCCCAAGTTCCGGCCGTCACGGTCTCACCTCCCTCTGCAAGGGCATCCGGCGCTACTGCTTCCGCCACTGCTGCTTCTAATGCTGCCAATCCAACTTCCAACCAGCAACCCCAGGCCAAAGACCAGCAACAGCTGCCCCACTCTCAGGTCGATATGGCCGCCATCAAACTCACCAGGGGCACGTCCTGCGTGCTCTGCCAGCAGCGCAAGGTCCGCTGCGACAAGAACAAACCATGCGCCAACTGCGTCAAGGCCCGCGTCGAGTGCCGCGTCGTGCCGCCCCAGCCTCCGAGGCGTCGGAAGAAGCGTCTGCAGGAGAAGGATCTCATCGAGAGGTTGAAGAAGTATGAGGGTTTGCTTTCCGAGAATAATATCAAGTTTGAAAGTATCCATCCCGAGTTGCTTTCTGGTCAAGGGGGTGCCGATGGTGGCGGGGGAGGAGTGAACGATGAGGTGACTGAGCTCGAGACGGATTTTGAGGGGTTGAGGACGAGTCCGAAGTCGAGTACCTCGGCGTCTTTGAGCTCGGGGAGGAAGTCACAAGCTGAGAGGTGAGTTTATCTTTTGTTGTTGGATGAGATGAGATGTAACGTGGGTATGTTGTATCACAGAGACTGACGATCGTACAGATCGCCGAACTGGATTCCATTTCACAAGGAGGTAAGGGCATTTTTTTTTTCCTATGTCTTTATTTTGTCACGGCCGGCGTCGCGAATTTCAGGGCCATTCTAAGACCCTACTATATGCCATCCGTCCATCCATGATTAATCTATCTCACTTCCCTCCTTTCTCACCAATAAGTCTACATCGCTGTGAACTCGACTAACATCAATTCTAGTTCCGCGCCAGTGAAGAGCTGCTCTTCGACTCATCCGAAGAAGAGGTCGAGGGTTCCAAAGTCCACCAGGCCTTCGACAAGATGTACGAGAACCAGGAGGGCTTCCCCTTCATGATCGGCGGCCGCACCACTTCCGTCGCTCACCTACATCCGCCAGCCATCCACATCTTCCAGCTATGGCAGGTCTACATCAATCGCGTAAACCCTCTTCTCCGCTTAACCCATACACCAACCATCCAGGGCAAGATCATTGAGGCGTCGGCGAGACTTGACGAGACACCGAGGCCCCTCGAGGCCCTCATGTTTGCCATTTATCTGACTGCTGTGAACAGCATGGAGGAACAAGAGGCGCTGGATACTTTTAATGAGTCTAAGACGATGCTGATGAGCAGGTTTCACTCGGCGCTGCAGCAGGCTCTGATCAATGCGGGATTCATGAGAACAAATGAGCTTATGGTGCTTCAGGCGTACACTTTATACCTCGTATGATTTCCTTCATCTATGATCTTCATAGGCGGTATGGTTGCTAACCTTGTAAACCTCAAATCTAGATTGCGGTTCGACAATTCATGGATCCTCGCCAAATCTTCTGCCTCATCGCAATGGCAGTCCGCATGGCTCAACGAATGGGTCTCCACCGCGACCCAGCTCTCATGGGCTATTCGCCCTTCGAGGTCGAACAACGCCGTCGCCTCTGGTGGACTCTCGTTGCTTATGACGGACGTATCGGCGAGATGACGGGTTCTACTGTCACAGCTCTCTCATTTGCCAGTGATACCAAGCTTCCGCTCAACATTAACGACGCTGACCTGCACGTCGATGGCAAGGAGCCGCCCACACCGCACGCCGGCGCTACCGAAATGCTCTTCTGCCTAGCCAGGTTAGAAATGTCGTTGATCGTGAGGAGCGATTCGCAACGAGATACACCTATCAAGCCAAACGCGTCCTCCGACAGCGGTCCTGCTAGCCTGCCAACCCCCGCGAGCTCGTCCACTCCCGGGGCCAGCAGCGGCGTAGCAGCAACTGCCAGCACACCCAATTCCGGCTCCGGCGCCTCAGGCCCGCCCATCCCTACGGTGCGAGTCGTACCGAGGGATAACATCAGCTACACCCTCGATGGTTTCTCCGCCCACATCGAGAACCAATACCTCCGGCACTGTGACGAACGCATCCCGCTCCACTTCTTCACCCTCACCATGGTGCGGCAATTGCTCTGTAAGATGCGCATCCTCGCCTTCCTCGTCCACATAGGCTACGGCCAAGACAACCCCCTCCCGCAAGACCAGCAACAACAAAACCAACAACACCCCTTGGACCAAGCCAAGCGCGACTCCCTCTTCCGCGAAGCCATCCAACTCATCGAATACGACAACGTCCTCCAGAACGCGCCCTCCCTCCGCTCCTACAAGTGGTTCACCTACATGCACTTCCCCTTCCCCGCCTACATGTTCCTCGTCAACGAGCTCCGCCGCCGCACCACGGGCGCCGCCGTCGAGCGCGCCTGGGACGCCCTCACGGAAAGCTACGAACGGAGGGGCCTCATGAATAAGTTGCATAATCCCATGCACATGGCTTTCGCGCGGCTTTTCGTCAAGGCGTGGGATGCGCATGAGGCGGCGCAGAGGGAGCTGGGAGAGACGGTGGCTGAGCCGAGATGGATGGCGGAGTTGAGGGCGCATACGGAAAAGTCGAGGAATAGTAATAAAGGGGTCGGAGGAGGGCCTAGGGGTCGGGAGATGGACGACGGAGCCTCGACGTCTTCGTTTATGGGGGGTATGATGATGGGGGGAGGGGGAGGGCCGGCTGGTGGGTTTCCTGGGTTCCCTGCGTCTGTGGCGTCCAGTGTGAGCGGCGCTGGGATATCCACCCCGCAACGGCCTCTCGGACAGGTCAACTTGGCGCCGTTGGTTAGTCCGCATGTTGCGCCCGAGGAGCAGGAGAGGCAGCGGAGGCAGGTTAGTGGACAAGGGCAGGGACAGGATTTGGCGGATATGGATTGGAGCTATATTATGCAGGAGTATAACTCGGGGGGACTGGCTGATTTTGGACAAGGGAGTGGTGGAATGGGGGGAGGACAAATGGATATGTATCAGTAGATGGAGTTTTTGGGACATGAATAGTACTGTAGGCCATTCGGCCTGGCGAAATCCCCCCCCCTAACGAGCGATTCCATGTCTCCGATGCACGTTAACTTAAAAACGAGCGAGTCGACACCGTCGGCAGACTTATCCGGTGATGAGAGCGCCGCGCAACTTGAGGCAGGAGCGAGCCAAGCCGATCCCTGGAGGAAGGAACCACCTGGGCCAACAACCACACCGAGTAAAGCATATAACGATCAATAAACGTCAGTGACGTTAAGGGATCAGCCAGCCAAGCTGCTAGTTAAATCCGTTCCCTCTTGGCTGCTGGTTGAAAGCGCTTGAGGTGGTCTCGGTTCGACCCCTGGTTGGACCTGGATGTAATAGGTTTTTCGCGGTAAGCTGGCAACGGCGGGTCCCGATAATTTTTTTTCCCTTTAACTTGTAAATATTATTATTTTTATTTTTAATTTTATTTAATTTAAATTTTTTTTTTTTCTCTATTTCCGTGAACTCGACGCGCCCTCGTTGTTGGGATAGGACTGGGGGGATTATAAATAAAGAGATCATGTCAAATTCCACCTTGGTCGATAAATACCCACAACACTCTTCGAAAGATGTTTCATGAGGCGCAAGAGAATTCCCTAAAAATTAAGGATTTTATGTAGTATTTGGTATTCGATGCTACGGAAGGGAACTTTCCAACAAAACTCAATCACCAACACGACAAGCATTGGGCAAGGTGTTCCGGGAGTGTCTGGTTTGAACCCAGTCGCGCAGCATCTATCATGACGAACTCGCAGGATACAGCAGACCTTCGACATCCCACTAGCAGTCCTCACAGTCATGCTATACTCACGGTTCCTCAGCGACATGTACATGTACGTCTTGCATATCAGCGCTACCAACTACGCGTTAGCCTTGCAGACGTTTGGAGAGGACCATCATCCGGGGACCTTACTCTGATAGGATTTTTTCAATCTCGGCTACTACCGCTTTAGCCTTGCCGACGGTTGTGTCGCCGCGGCGTACGCGCACGAATACCACAACGGGGTTATTCTGAGCCTTTGGCCTCCACCCAAGCCGATAGACTCCGATCGCTCTCCAGTTCACGGCGTTGCACGCGTCACGGATCTGGTCGCATATCCCTTCGTATTCTTTGGTGATCTTGTGTTCTTTGCCAACGGGGAATAAACGGACGGGAGAACGATGTACGGAGGGACCTGGTTCCTGTGGCGGTTCGTCAAATGGATGGAAGGATCTCGCTAGGCAAACAAGACCGCCGGGAATTCCATGGTATAGTGTTCTCTGGCAATCTTCCCTGGACTTGCCAAAGTCGGTAGTTGGCTCCATACTGGGCAATGGACAACTGTTCATATCTTGAGATTTTGAGATGATAGAGGGAGTGACTCGGTAGAATCAGAAATGGAAACTGGTACCGTGTTGACGGAGCCTCGGCAGGTATTGCCCTCCGGGACTGGTGAGGATGGGGCCCTCGTGTGTTTTATAGTCAAGCTGGTTCTTCAGATGTCTTCAAGTAATTTCTAGTCGGATTCACATGTCATAAGGACCCCATGAAAGGTAAGTCTAGTGAAGATATGAGGCCGCTACTATAGTAGGTTCAATTTTTCCAAGTCATAAGAGTGTAAGGCGCAAGGCGAAGGTTACCTCAGTCTAAGGATATGCTCCTTAATCTCTCCAATGCCACACACTCCGCTTGTTGGCTTCAAAGCCTTGGTGGATGAACGTTAAATGCTATCAATGTACCGAATAATCCGCTAGAGTCGGCTCTAATAGAAATACTAGCCAACCAACCCTTCAAATTGATCTCTTCTCCTTTCGGACCGTAAACCCAGAGCACAGGTTGCCCGACAAAATCAGAAGACTTCTTGGCGAACTTAGAGCGTTACCTCGCGATGCCTCTCGAGCAGCGCCATAAATATCGCCATCAGGGGAGAGGCCCAGGGCTGAGAGGATTTGCTGGGCAGCGGTCACTAGTAGAAAGTCAAAATACCTCCCCCAGCAACCTGCATTAAAAGGTACCTACAGTGTAGTGTCGAGAGGGCCTCAACCGTACTAGGAAACCCATGAATTATATTACCCGTGTAAACGCTGACTAGTGGGCGGAGTTCGTTGTGGCCATCAAAGAGCGCGGCTGCCGTATTTTGCCGCTTCCTTGTAGCATTCTCCTGGCTAGAATAGGTCAGCTTCGAGGGTCCATCACGAGGCGATAATGGTGATGACGAAGACGATGAAGATGAGGATGGTAATGCTGAGGATGATGATGTTGAAATCATGGGAGATCCCAGTTCCCAGGCATGAATGCAGAGGAGAGCTGAGGAATCCGGTTTGCGAGGCGGATGCTGGGAGAACGGGCGTACAGGCCTTATGCCATTAGCGTAATCGGTGCCTTGAAGGTATTGCTTAGACCCCCTCGATTTAGTATACCTAGCAAGTAGGGGAGGTTTTCTTTCTTCATGGCCATAGGAAGAAACACATCGAGGATACGGAGAAGACATCGGAGAAAAAGTAGTATATATTCCCTTCTATCCTATATTATCCTATATCGTAACTTATGTAATGTATCGTAAGAGAAACATAAATATAGAAAAAAGAGTTCGTTTCATATCTCATAAGCCATCGTGTCGTTCCGTGTACCAAAAAAAAAGTTGAAAGGCCGAAGAAAAGGAGCCGGCGAATATCCCGTCTGATTATACAGATGCTCTTTGCAAGTCCCAAGAAAGACAAAGAACATTGAAGTAAGGAAAAAAGAAACAGAGGAAGATGAAAAGGGGGAGAGAAGAGTTCGTTGCGGGTGTACCGGGTGGAATTGGAGAGATATATCGCTCGCTCGCTACGTCAAAGTTAAGGGTATTTGCTCTCGCAGCATTCGAACATGAAAAAGGCAAGGGATTTCGCGGTAAAGCACACTCGAATGGGTTTCCAGGGAAAAGAGAAAAAAAGGGGGGAAAAAAGGAAGAAGCCAGACCCGAGGTTGAAAAAGAAACCCAATTTTAACCCGGTTTCTGCGCCCATACAGAAGTCCACCAAAGAAACCCACAAACTCCCGGATCCCTAACAGCAGCCTCCACACCCTTCGCCAAAACCTCCGCCTCCTCGCCTGTGAGGTCCAGCTCCCTATGCTTGGCCAACACGCCGGCGACGAGGCCGTCAACGAGGAGCTGCATGTAGAGGGCGACCTCGCGAGTCTTGGCGTCGGATTTGGCGCGCGGCCGGGGCCCCAGGGGTAGCCTTTCGCGGCGGACGCCGACGTTGACGAGGCCGGCGGAGGAGAGGGCCGTGGGGAGGTGGGAGGGGAGGGAGGGGCTCCAGCCGTAGCGGTGGGCGAAGTCGGTGTTGATGAGAGAGAAGAAGCGGGTAAGAAGGAGGGAAGAGGGGGATGGTGGGGAGGTTGTGGGCTCGAAGACGGGGATGGGGGTTATATCTTCGAATTCGACCCAGCCGCCGGGACGGAGATGTCTAGGATCGTGTGTTAGTGAGGGAAAGGGGGGCAACAAATGGGTGAAGGATGGACACCTACTCGTAGACGGAGGAGATTAATTTGGTGGGATTTCGGATGGTGGTGATGAAGCAGCGGGCATGGATATAATCCGAATTGCGGTAGGCTGGGGGCCAGTCGGCTTCTAGGTCGTCGATTTTCCATTCGACGTTGGGCGGAGCGAAGTACGGTTGTATGGGGGAGAGGTCTATGCCGATAACATGGGCGCTGGGATATCGGTCTGCGGCTGTGAGACGAAAGATGAGAGACTGTACTGCATTAAAGAAAAGGTCGATTTCTTTTTATTTCATTATTCCCCATTCTCTCGCTTCAAACTTACCCTCAATGGCCCAGACACCAGAACCGGTGCCAAGGTCGATAATTTTTTGCGGACTGTCGCCGACGGGAGCAAGGCCTATGGAAGAGCCGGTAACAACCTTGGCCATGGAGTGCTTGATTTCCTCGCGGTTCAGTTCGCCCTCATCGTTGGGGAGCGGATACCTCCCTTCAACGAATGCCTGATACCGGCTGTTTCGGGTGAAGAAATGAGTTGTTAGTATATGATGAGGGCATGTTGAGGTGGAGGAGAAGGACCGAGCCTACCGTCCGTTTTCGTAGATGTGATATTTAGTGGCGGTTTCTATAGATGTGAAGCCCGATGAAGCCGAAGACGGCTCGTAGTCGGATGTGAAGTCCATGTCGGCATCGTTTGAGTGAAGCGAGCTACCAAAGTCCTGTTGGCCTTGGGCCCCGTTCGGTTCATTCATCTTTCCCGAACGAGGTTGTCCGGGAATGAGTCTCGGAAGGAATGTAGGTGTGGACTATGCTCTTACAGGTGGGAGAGAAAGACGAGAAGAAATTTTGAAAAAATTATAGTCAATAAAAAGAAGAAGGTAAAAAGACCCAAAAAGGCGGGTAGGGCTAAGAGAGAGGAGGAAAGAGGCGGTCTTATTCGGAGTCGGTCAGCTGTCGTTCTCAACTGAGCTGTAAGAGTGGATCGGGGCGGATCGAGTGAGAGGAGGCGGATGTGGATGGGGGTGTGCATGTAGAAGACAGGAGACACTCCATAGTCTTGCGAAACAACTCAAGGAATTCTCCCTATTATGTTCTCTTCCCCCTTTTTCTTTTCTATGATTTTCTCTCGCCTTTCTTGTACGAATAAACTCGCACTCCCTTTTCGCAACGGCCTGAGTTGAGTCACTGCAGGATGTCGTGTGTGTTGTTGGTATGCGTGTGTGTGGAGGCGGCACTCCAACCAAGCCGAGTCGGAGCGGAATGGTTGGCGGAGAGCTTCAGAGTCAGGGGCGAGGCGAGGATGAGGATTATGTAGTTCCCGAAGGACTGGGAAGGGAGGGGGTGGGCCCTATAAAAAAAAGGGACGATGACGGTACGATTGGAACCGGGCGGGAGGAGAATGGGGGGGGGGGGCTGTACGAGCGAGTAGTGGTAGTTTAGGGTAGGAGAAAGGAAGTCGAAGGGGGGTGGAGAAGAACGTCTGGAACCAGCGTGCCGGACTCGTTCTCTTCCCTTCTTTCTCTGCCTTGTTGATGCAGGCAGGAATGGGGAGGGGGGAATGTGGGATGTGCTGCGGCAATGGGGCAAGAGGGTTGATAGACCAATACAAGCACTACTTCGCGCATCGTCGAACGCTACGAGGGACTGAGTAATAATAAGAAGGGGGCATGGGAGCATAGGAGTCGGCCAGATGTACGATTTTATCTTCGGATTAGGACAGGGATTGGGGGCTTATATCCGTGCTATAGCATCATTAAGTCACTAACTTCGTCGTCGTACTCCGTAGGAGCGGGAATGGCGTTAAGCTTGAAATAGATCAGACAGGCGCTTGGAAGAATATGATATTTGATAAATGGGCGACAAAGAGGCTGTCGAACGCAGAGTGAGAGAGCGAAGTACTTGCACAGTCTGAGAAATGACAGGCCAGAGTACGAAGCGACCCATCAAATCAAGTGGCACCAAGCGGGAGCAGAGGAGACACTGGAGCGATCCAACGTTGATGTGGAGAACACTACCCATGATCCATGGATGTTGTCGTCCGGAAGACTTGCCCGGAAAGGGAAAGGGTTGCAGGGCCTGGAAATCGCTACGAGGTGGTGGAGCGTGCAGCATGGGTATGTCGATGAAGTACTTCGTACGAAGTATGGAGTATGGATGTACACTTTGATGTATCGAGGAATGGGAATGAGAATTAAATACGAAGTACTTCGTGGGTTATGTAGCATCAATTGACGGCAGGGATGGCTTGGGGGATACGCACCCGTTAGTAATTAGTACATCCCATATCCCAGAGAAACATGCCGTTTCTCGAATATTTCGACGTTCCCGTTAATATCCATCTTTATATTGAAGTGTCAGTTTTTTTTTTTTTTTAACCTCACGCGGTCCATCAATGTCTTTCTCTGGTGTGTTTCGTAATATTTCGTAGCTGTACAAACAAAGCACAGCCCTTCATACAAGTATACATCGAATGTAGTGTTCTCACGATATCCAGTCCTCCGCATGTCCCCAATGCTACCATGCTATACACGACACTACATGTATTGATGCATGTAGTGTACATGGTGTTCATATTAGTGGACTTCGTACTGCAGTCCTTCATCCACTTGAGGCCTCGATTTTGTCTTCTCCCCCCCACACCCACTGGCTCTCTGCATCCCAATGGGCTGGTTCTTGGGATTAATCGTTGATGATTGCGGTGTATTTTAGTATACTTTGCAGTTGGCTACTTTGCACGTGGGCACTGAGAACTCCACCATCGTACACTTCTTCGTCACGGCAGGACCCGCCCTAACTTTTTTTTTCCCTTCAATTCTCCCATCCTGCTCATGAGGACATGGGCCTGGAAATAATACTCGGGACTCTGGATTAATCGATCAAATCTCATCTTATTCTCAAAGTGCGTGAGGTTCTCGCTGCACCCGCCAAAAAGAGGCGGACAAGACCCCACTCCAAGTGGTGTACGAAGTACCACGCATACAAGTCTGTTTGGCATTTCATCAGAAGTATGCACTACATCAATACAAACAGCGATCAGCAGCAGAGGCGCAAAGGCAGCTTTGAATTAGCCATGCAGGTGACGTGGTCGATTTGATGGCGATCAATATCACGAATACAATAATTGATACTTCATGCTCGAACCCTTCAATTCAGGGATGCCGTTGAAAGTACAAACAAGGCTTTTTGTTGTCCTCGTAGATGGGACCGTTGTACCGCGTGCTGCAGTGGTACGCCGTTGCCAATCGATTCATCAATGCTCTATTCAAGATGACCAGGAACACAGCATGAATCGAATCCAACCTGCGAGACCAAGTACACTACATCTACATACATATCGTTATCAAGTAGGTAAATCAATGACTGTCAATTCATCAATGATGGAGTAATTGTGTTTGGAACAAGGGCGAGGAAAAATGATACCAAGGAAAATAAGCTGAACCTACTGCTGGGTCTTCCATCACTCTTCTATCCACTGGGAAGCGAACCCCATTCCCCGGCGGTAAACCTCGCTGCCGGGAAACGAGGCAACAGGAACCGGATAGGCGGGAAGCGTGGGCCTGGGTTAGGCCTATGTGCTTCATAGGCTGCCGGGAAGGGCCCTGAAACAATAGAGAAGGAGAGAAAGGAGGAAAAATCCTTCCAAGCCGTGGGAAAGGGTACTTCGTTCTCGGCAGGCTAAGCCAAGGACCCAAACTGTCGGATCCCCCGACGAAATCTTGAACCATTCCCTTCTTTGACTCCCTCCATCGACCGGCCCAGGACTGAGCCATTTCGCTTGAAATACCACCTGAGCCCTACTTTAGCCCTAGGAACCCTATCTTAGTGTACACAGGTACGCCGCTCGTAGACGATAACGATGACGATGCGGGATTAGAATACGCCCGATTTTGACACTAGTTTGCACTTGGAAAGCACATAACTCAAGCCATCAGTCGATCTGGTCGATGGTTTTTACATTACGTACTTCTTTCCCCTCCACCAGTCGTGGCTATCACTAGGTTGGGGACAATCGATTGATTCCTTCGGTCTCCCCTCCAGGCTAGGTGTACATTACCTGCTCCTCGGCTGGACGCAAGCGTGGGCAAGATCAAACTGCAATTCGTGGAGAGGACCCGAGCACATGGTACGCTGGCTCCGCGAAGCAGTCAACCAGCCCAACGGCGGTGATGAAACAGACACTAGCCTGCCTGCCCGGCAGTGAAGTATTCGTGACCAGCAGCAGACTGCAACGTACTAAGTATACAGGAATTGCGCAGTCTTGGCTCCCTCTGCGAGCTGAGCCCTCTTGTTCTGCTGCTGTCTTTGTCATTCCTGACAAGTTCCAGAGCTGCATCCGAGAGAATTGAAAAGAACCGGCCCGGACTAGGATTAGTTACCCATCGGCTTGGCCATACAGCTCTCGTCACCTTCACATTATTGCCTATTCAAGTGCGTCGTACATGTACATCGTACCCGGTGTAGCAACGGAAATGTTGTGCTTTTTCTGCCCTGCAAGCACTTGGGCGCGACCTACCTCAATAGTCCGTGTGACTATTTCGTAGTGTAGGTGGACGTGGCCATCCAGATCACGACAATGGACCCAGCCGTCTGGGTCACCAATAGCGGAACGACCCTAGCACCAACCCAAGTGCATCATCCCCTCCCCCCCTCCTTCCCCCTTCCCCTCCCCTCCGTCGGGTCCAGATGTCTGTTGGCAGGCTTGGACTCAAAATTTTTTTCCAACCCCCATCCTCGACGCCTTTTGTCTAAGCGAAGTTTTTGCCCCAACGGGCGCCAACGTCGTATAGAAATGCATCAGTGAGATTACAAGGTGGAGTATCGTACATCAAATGTATGTGTCCACTATGTGTTCTTGCAAGAGAACCAAGTGATCCCCTCTTTTTTTTTTTGCCCGACCCGACCAATGATGCTTTGTTTGCGTTGGACGAGGTACAAATGGATGAGCACGTTCGTCCAGAGACACACCCCCAAAAGTCCCCTTGTCATTACGTTACCGTTGTCGGGGATGCGGACGTGCTTTTCCGAGGATATTTCTCCGATTTATTTCTATGGGTAAAGCCACGCCCCGTTTGAAGTGTGGGCAAGATGGGGGGACGGGATGGACTGTTCCACTTCGTGGGTGCTCCAGAGAAACGATGGAAACATTCCGGGTTCGCGGGAGAAGGATAAGACTCGTAAAACTTGATTTTCTTTTCCCCTCCCGAGAATTAAAAGAGAACGATAGAAATATGCAGCAGGATTGAGGAGATCGAAATGTGTGTGGTACATCTACGCAGTACGAAGGTACATACATCCTCGAAGATGTTGAGCAAGCCGCCTTCTCAGGACCAAGTACAGTGTAGAGCCACATTGCGCGACAAACCCCCCCCCCTAAAAAAAAAAGGAAAAAAAGTATTTTCAAGAACCCTGTTGCCGGATTTTATTCATGTTCTTTCGAGTTTGCAATGGAAACCCTAAAAATTCAAAACGTACAGATGTACGTTTGGGCGGGCGGGGGGGAATATCAACCAGTCTACTTCGTAGACCCCCTGTCGATGCTTGTCCAAACTCTTGGGATTCTCCCCGAATTCACAGATTGCGGAAGTTCCTGCCAGCAAACAAGAGTTGATCAGGAAATATTTAAGTGCACACCCCCTTTGCGTTGATTTAGGGACCTCGGTTTACAAGGAGAGGGGGCGAGTTT